GAGCCAATTGGCTGCGATAGTGATTAGATTTTTAGCCGATTTTTATGTAGTCAAAAGACTTACTGAAAAGTCATTTCTCTTTGCTTGGATTGTAAAATAACAACGAGAAGTTAATAAAACAAAGTAATGACAGGGTGTGCCTTAAATTCATTTATTTACACGCAAATATATTATATGTATACGTATTATAGGTATTTATATATATATATTTATATATATATATATATTATGTATATATCACTGTTATATTGCTATAACCCTTGAGATTTACACGTACAAGTTACGCTCCCTTTGACATTGTCACTCTCAGGAAATTTCCACTGAAATCTTCAAATCCGATTTCCTTTTATTTCCTTTACCGTTTTCGTTTCTTTACTCTCCGTCTCGCGTAACATCGGTGTTATTGTAGCAAATTTACAAACAAGAACGAATTGGCTGGAATTTTTGATCTCGAAGAACTCGATTGAACGGTCAACCATTTTTTTTTTTATTTTTCACAGTGATATATCTCTGTCGATTTAATCCTACGTATATTTATGATCGATTATCGAACGAATATCATCGCTAAGACGGATTATATCAAAACACCGAGAATGTCCTTTTTAAAAAATTTCACGAGTTAAAAATTTATACGGTCGTAAAATTCGTTTCGCAAACCTGATAAAAGCTAACGTTTAAGTTTAGAATACGTTCTCAATGTTTAGAATATAAAATATCGTCGCGTTGCGATCGTGATAAATTTCGAATCGGCACTCTTGAGATTAATAAATCTCGTTTAATAAACATTAATTTTCTTTCTTGTTTACAAGTGGTAAAACAGACCCTGATGATACTGCTTGACATATCCTGATCTTCTGGCCCCCTCTGATTACTTTTTTTCATTACTATCTTTGCGTTTCTTCTTGAGCAATAAATCGTTGAATATTCGTTCGCAAAAATGCAAAACACGATCATAAAATTTTGTAAAATCATTGGTGAGAAGCGCATTCTCTTCTTTCTTCCATCTTTTTATTTTATATTTTTCCTTTTTTGTCTTTTTTAATGCAGAGTGTTAAAAGAGGCTATCTGAATAATTGTTAACTTGTCAAATATAAAGATTTTTAACAATATTTCATTTCATAAAAGCAAAAAATGATAATTGATTCGTTGATTTATAGTCAAGAAAATTCTTTTGCTTATAAATTTTCGAACCACCTACATTTAGCACTCTGTATAGTATCAGGGGAAAAATGGCTCCAAATCACACGTGATTCCCTCTAAAAAAAATTATTCTTCACGATTCACGATTCATTCCATTCAAACAAAATAAGAAGTTCACATCAAAAACATCACTTGATAAAATTGGTAAAATGGCAAGTTCGTGTTGTTTATACTAAATGTTCAACTTCGTCACGTAAAAATGTTGATCTGACATTTGTTTTCTTCCTTCTTTCTCGACCAACAAGTATTCCGTATTTACACATCTGCGACAGCACCGTTAATTTCGCAATCATGCCACCGTTGCTTCCGTTTCCATAACATCTCTGCTGAACAACAGATAAAGATAAGCGCCATTTCCAATTTTGCTCACATCTAATGATGCCATATTCTACAACCATAACTGCCTTATAACGATCAAAATTGCTTTCTCTTTGCCGTTAATTTTATTTTCCTTTCCTTTTCCTACCAACCTTAGTGAAAATATGGAGTACAGAAAATAAACGAAAATTACAATTAATTACAAGTAAATAATTCTCAATAACAAAATTTTTAACTGCAAAGAAAAATGGGTTAATTTTTTCCGTTTCATTTTTTTTTCCATTACCGTCCACGGAACTTTCATCATATCCACGAGCTTCTATTGTAACTGTTATTTAAACATATATTACGATATATATTAATTATCAATTATAAACAAGCTAATTCGTGTCACGTATGCAAAGAGAAGAGAAAGAATTTATTACAAAACAAGTATTTGTTGAACACAATTTTTAAGTGCAGCGTCGTTTTTGTTGTAGTTATTATATAATGGGACAAAGTTATTATATCGGCTGTGAAAAAGCGACAATGAAACTTTACATTGGGACAAACGAGGTTTATACGATGACATACTATTTGAAAAATAAACCAACAAATAGTTAAAGAATTTATCAGATAATGAAACTATTTTATCTCATATAGTACAAATTTAATAGTTAACGTCAGGTATGGCATCTCTCGAAAAAGCTAAAAGGTGTTGGGCTGTTCGTATAAAATATTTACGATATGTACAAATTCTTTCATTTTTTCATCCTTTTTCTCATCTCTTTCTCTCACTTCCTTTCATCCTACTTCCATATAGATATATTAAACAAACAAAAGTATCCACCTGCCTCTTACGACCAGCCTGTATAACGTAAACTTAATCATTCGTATACTTAATTGAATCTATGTATATAACATGTACACGTATGTAATTAGTACTCTATAAAATAGAGTGATTTGAATTCTTGTCTTTTTCTCACACCATCATTGCAAAGCTTTCATGTAAGTGCTCTGAACAGCCCATTTGATCAATCTTGATGAACTTCCTACGATTATAATCATGTATACATATGTGTGTATATATGTGTGTATATGTCAGTCTTGAGCCACTTTCATAAAAGCTTCCCACTTTTATGATCAGGTCTCGTCTCTTACCTAAATATATACTTGAACATTATCGTATCAATAATATCTTGGCACATTTTTTCCTAACATATGAATAAATGTTATATATATTCATAGGTGTACCTGTCTTTCTGTGCATACTTCATGGTGTAAACGTTTCGGGTTGTGTATCATACTTTTTGCAAGCTTATGCTATTACTAACGGCTCGTCGTCAGAAAAACCTCGGATCACGGGACTGTCTTCTTCTTCTGTAATTGTATAAATTAGAAATTTTCTTGTAACTCAAATTTTTTTAAATATATATAGTCCAAAATTTTAGCAAAATTTAAGAGATCGAAACTTGATGTGAATATGCATTTAGGTTGTACATAAACTTACCTAAACCATCTGTAGTACCCGGGAAAGTTGCCTGTCCACGTCTAGTATCGTAATGACTATTAGCGAACTGTGTGAAACTAGTGGTTAATCTCCTGTGCCTGATGACGAAGTATACTAACGCAATTCCTAAGACGACGATCAACAAACAAATCGGTATCGCAAAAGGAAGGATGTTCGAGGTACTCATCACTGGCAATGCCGACATTTCTGAAAAAATTAATTTTTATTTATTTAATTTTTATCAATAAAGCAGCAGGATCAGTTTTTTTTATTATAAATACAGATTATACGTTTATTCAAGTGATTACCTGCACTATATAAGGTGCTGAAAACCTCGCTCAGAGGACTCTGAAAACCTTCATCAGTGACCAAGCGAATGGCAAATGAATAAACAACACCTGGTTTCACATCTTTATACGTGTACGGTGGTTGATCAGTTTTATAAACCTTGGCAATCGATTCGTTCATCACATTTAGTCCTTCTACCACCAAAACCTCATAATGATACTTAGTAGATTTTAGAGTATCTGGTAAATCATGTTCTTGCCAGAAAACAACGAATCCCTGTTCCTCGTGAAGTACCTTTACCTGATGGGGAGGTTCAATACCCGGTGCCATGTAGAACACCGGTTGACTTGGTATAGCATCGTCAACGTCTGTGGATATCGTAATTCGATACTTGCCGCCATATTTTACCGAGGTAAATGCATGGTTCATAATGGTTTCGTTAGTTGGTGGTAGGGTCGCTACGAAATATTTCTTGCGCACCAATTCTATCACAGTAATCTAAAATTTTGACAGTAATAACATTAAATAAACTGATATTTGTGTAATTTTCTAATTAATATTAAAAAATATTAGTAATATTCTACGTTTCGATGGGAGAATATAATAAAGAAATTGATATTGCAGAAACTTTGATGTACCGTGTATCTAATAGGCTCATCGATATTAGGACAACTAGCACTCCAAGAAATGATTATGGTATTACGTTTCTCTAATGAAATGACTTTCACTTTCTTTGGTGGAGCACGTTGATTAAAATGTGTAAATGCCCTAGCTGTTATTAGTGGCCCAGCACCATAATCACCATTCACACCCACAGCGAACACGTAAGACTCACAGGCTTCTAAATCCTTGATAGTTGTCGACAAGTTTGACGTCCGAAATTTGTAACCTGAAAATACAATTTATTCTTGATTAATAAATTCCATGTGTATGATTTATATTATCAAAGTTCTTACTTCTAAAAAGCATTACTATGTTTACGGCGTAATAAATTGCATATTGCCATTTAATTTTCCTAGTACTCTTAGGCGGCTCCCAAGAGAGATGTACTGAGGTTCCGTGCGGTTTCGATACTTTAGCGACTAATTTCGTTACAGGAGGCAGAGGGGTGCCTTCCGTGGTTGCAGTAATGGACGCACTTTTTCCTACGTACTTATCATTCATGGCGGCGACATAAAAAGTATACTTAGTTCCTGGAGCTAGCCGTATTACTTGCACATGATTCGGCAATATAATTATCATCGACATTGCAGGATATGTCGCTGGACCTTTTGGACTAATGAGATAGCAATCCGCGTTTTCCATCTTCTTCCACCGTAAGGTCACTGAGTAATTAGTTGTGGCTACCACTTTAAGGTCCTCAATGTTATCGATATTAGCCGACCCATCAAAGGTCAAGGTAGCCACATTGGACGAGGCAGATTCCTGTTGTGTATTCTTTGCTATTACCCAAAACGAATAATTCTTTCCTGCTTCGAATGACATATCTAAAATGACAGAAGTATTTTTCCTAATGAAACGTATCGGCGGATGAGGTGGCGCCACGAATACTTCGTAAAGTCTAATGACTCCATTTGGATTCAGAGGAGGTTGCCAAGTAACCTCCACCCTAGTTCCATTTTTCTGAGTCACGGTCACGTTCCTTGGCTCTGAAGGAATACCTTCATCTGTTGTAACAATCAAATACTTAGCTGGTGGAAATACAGTAGTCTGGCCTTTTATCCTAACGTAGACTGTCATATTATAACGAGTGTATGGCTTAAGGTTATTAAATTGGCAATCCATATCTTCGATCCACTTGGTGGCATTGGTCCAGTTAGCTCCAGGTGTAGCATACGCTATTGAAGGTAGGAACTCGAAGGTGATATTGTTTGGTATAGGTATCCACCAATAGAAGAATAAACTAGTAGCATTGCCAGATCTCTCGTCCACTTCTATTATAAGCACCTGATAAACGCGTGAACTGTTGGCGCAATTATTACTCTCGTCGAAGCCATCCACGCAATCTCGTTTGCCATCACATTGCAGTACTAGAGGGAGACATCGTATCTCATCACAAGCGAATGAACCCGGAGAACAGGATGGTGTAGCTACCGGACTGGACTGTTGCTCTCCTGAGCATCCTAACTCATCGGTACCATCCGGACAATCCTCCACGCCATTACAGACATTTTCTATGGGAATGCAAGCGACATCCATACGGCACGTGTACTGCTCTAGTTTACAATGAAGATATGTACAGTGCATCTCATCTTCGCCAGAAAGACAATCATTGGAACCATCGCAAACCCATGAATTTTGTATACAGTCGCCATTCAAGCACTGAAACTGATGTTCTCGGCATACCTTTGATTCTAGCGTGGGATACATAACGCCCCATTCTTCGTCTTCATTGCCACAGCCCATCTCGTCCGAATCATCCTCGCAGTCGTTCACGCTGTCACATTTCCACCAATAAGGCACACATCTCTTGTTGTTACACATGAACATCCAGTTATTGCAGGGGCTGTTGGGTAGGAAAGTAACCAATGACGTCGACGGTACAGTAGTAGTGCAATTTGCTTCGTCAGATCCATCAGCACAGTCCTTATCCCCATCGCAAACCCATGTACTATATATACAACGAAGTTTAACTTTTGACAAACTACATGTGAACTGCCAACTTTCGCAGACCATCTCGCTGCAATCAACCTCGTCCCAACCGTCTTCGCAATCTGGTTCCCCATCACATTTCCAACTGGCTGGTATACAAGTTCTATCCGTCTTACAGAAAAATTCATCAGTCTTGCACGTGGTGACAAATACCTTCTTAGCACAGTCCCTCTCATCAGATCCGTCTCGGCAGTCATCTTCGTCATCGCATAGCCATTTATTTGATATACACCTACCATTATCACACCTGAACTGCGTCTCCCTACATTGCGGATATTTGCAGTTCATCTCATCCCTGCCATCCTTGCAATCCTGGTCAAAGTCACAGACCCAATACTTAGAGATGCATTTGTTGTCACCACATTCAAAGTCTGGGGAGCAAGTTGGCATAGGAGTACAATCAATTTCGTCCGAATTATCACCGCAATCGTTATCTCGATCACACCGCCACGATGCTGGGATACACACGTCATTAGCACAAGCAAACTGATTAGAGGCGCATGTACTGGCCACTCTGGGACATGTAGAATTAGCGAATGGAGTGATTCCTCCTGGACACATACACTTGTTCTCCATCATTTCCATTCCATCGGGACAAAGGCAAACGTGTCCGCCATGGGGATCTCCCACACAGATATGCGAGCAAGTATTATTGGCACAATCATTGGTACCATGTCGCATGCTGTGTGCGTATACTTTAAGGTCCATTAAAGCAGGTAACTGACCTAAAATTGTCGATATACCGAGACCGTAATCTTTATCTGCAACAAATATCATGAACTGCTTCCAGTCGTCCCAATATATGTTGTCTTTAAACACTGCAACAGCAAAAGGATGTGATACTCTATCATTCTTGGAAATTACTTTCTTGAATTTTTTTCCGTCAAAGTCGCTTGACCCGATGTAATCCTGCCTAGCGTCCACCCAGTAAATACGTTCTGCTATATGATCAATGGTTATTCCATTTGGCCATTCGACAGTTGGTTCCACGAATAGTCTCTTCACATCTGTCCCGTCGAGATTGGCCCTTGATACCGAAGCGTTTCCTGGAGCCCAATCAGTCCAAAACATGTATCCATTCATCGGATGTACCGCTATTCCTCTAGGTTTCTGTAGATTGTTTGGTCCTAAGATGGTCCTTCGCATTCTTCCCATACTAGATACATCCGTCCTAATCACTTGAATTCTCATCTTAACGCCATCAGCAAAATATAGAAGATTAGACACCCAGTCGAACGCCATTCCTTCTACAGAACTCAAATCAGTTTCCAGCAAAATTTCGGGAAAACTTTTACCATCCTTAAAACATTGTCTACCTATAACATCGTTAACAATGTCCGCCCAATACAGACAATTGTTTCTCATGTCAAATTCAATAGTTATTACATTCTTTAGATCGTGAATAGGTAATACTTCCAATTTTGGTTCGACTAAATCGATTCGTGAAATATGATCGCGTTGAGCCACCAATAAAAATGCGGGTTTTTCCTCAATGGGACACGGAATCTGGTCTGGCTCGAAATTTTTAGCTAAGCCACCTACACATTCATCATCGGCTATTTTTACATAACCCTTCGTTCGATTGTAAAATGAGCCAGGTTCGCAAATAGCTGGTACGGCGTAAGGGTCATAAAAAAATATGGATCTATTTCTAATACATTGATAAGGATTTCCAACTTGCACAAAGCCGAAAGCGCATTGATAGTCGTTATAATCGCACAAGCATACTTCTGTCTTTACTGGTCGATCATAATTTACACCCATGTAACAGTTAGCTTTCATTGCTCTTCTTTGATAAGTCTCCTTCCGACCCAGCACACAGGACATTGCTGGTTGATCCGGACTCGTCGGTGACCAGAACTTAAAATCATCCTCGGTGCAAACCCTTTCAAACACGTTTCTCAAATCAATCTTAATTATCAACCATTGGTGTTGGCCGCTAGCTGAACCGAACATCGTGAAAACTGTAGTATTTTCTCCCGGTTCGGTCATCAATCCATATACACGCAGCATTTTCTCATTAAACTCATACGACTGCCATGTCTCCCCTTCATCGATAGAATAAGAAATATCTCTGGTTTCTCCGCGTGACTTAAAATATTTTACAGCTACCAAAAGACCACCGTGATCTCCCATGTTGAAGAAATAATAATCCTTGAGAACCTGTTTCCAAGTAAGGCCAGCATCTCTAGACACATACAGAGCAGGATGACCCTTAAGACTCTGCCCTATCACTCCAGTAGCCATTATAATACCCGGAGCTGACTTCGAGCTCATAATAGATACTGCTCTCGTCACGGGATATAGTTGACTGAAACGTTGGCTCAAATGCAGTGAACAGTCTTTCGTGCAGTGTATATAGAAGCCTTCGTGATTCGCAGTAGGTGGCTTTATGGGGTTCCACGTTGCGCCATGATCGAATGTTATCAAGGAAACTAAATGTTCCAATGCGATGAATCCTGACTTCGGTGATCCTTTTACTTGTGTTGCTATATAAATACCCCGAAGACCTTCCACTTTATACAAGTCGGTAAACGACTCCTCTGTTACATTACTGAAAAAAAAAACACGTACAAATCTTTAATCTTTCATCTCTTTACGAATAATTTAGATACTATACTGTATTAACTTTTAGGTAATTACTTTAACCAACTGTCTTTCCAAGTGCTGTTCGGGAAAAACGTAAGAATTCCCTCGAGTGATAGTGTAAACCTAGCCATGTGCTGATTTATGACCTCTGATATATAAAGATTTACTTCTGTTTCACTGTGAGAAGCGGCAACGAAGACTCTATTATGTGAAACATCGACTATATGATAATCTCTAATTGGCAAAGGCGTATTAAATTCAGCCTTAACAAAACTGGAATTCTTGTACGACACATAGAGTTCCATGTGTTCTGTTCCATTCTGTGAAAATAAAACATTCCTTATTCGCAACTGAAATAATAAATGGATGTCCAAGGTAAAATTCGATGTTTGTCACATGCCTTCACTTTCTTCATCGTAGCAAATCTATAATCGCCTTTAATTTTTTCCCATTAAAATGCGTGCGTTCGATTATCAATGCAGGTGCTGGCGACCAAAAGAACGCTTTCACTGAAGAATACAATTTTATCCAAGCGAAACCCAGGCTGTTCGATAACCATAGCTAAAAATATAACGTTAATATAGTAGGTACACACAAAATGTTTTGAATAATAAGAAACTAAGCAATTTACAGTGGGTTCCGAGCTGACTTTATCCAAAGCAAGAACGCGTTCAAGTTTCATTTCGTAAAACGAAATTTCGCTAGGATGAAATGGTATTCGTGAAGTAGAAATTGTTACTCCATTATTTGGGGTGATGAAGAGTAAATTATTTATACTGTCCACAAAGATGCACTGTAAAATATGTGAAAGTAAGAGAATAATGGAATATCCAAGAGAATTGGAAAATGCCAAAGAAATATAAACCTACGTATTTATAATACTTTGGATGATTAATAAACTTGTCTAGAGTAGCATACGTTGCACCTGGTTCGTCAATTCGAAATTTCTCTGTTATATTCACGAACGTATCGCCATAATCGTAACTTATATATACAGCACTGGGGTTAGTAGTTGTATATTCCGTATTTCCTTGCATTCTGACCATTGATGTACTGTCTCTTGCCAGACATATTATCACATTGGATTTCTCTCCTACCCAATGAACAATCAGTTGTTGATGCGAATCGTTTAAAGCATTGACCTACACAAAAATATAGAAAAATTAAACAAATATAGTAAGACTGTTTTCGCACACAAAATTATCAGATAACAACAATCATAACATAGATAAGAATAAGCTGGAAAAAACATTTATGTTTTTTATCTAAAAGTACAGCTATAAAATGAAAAAAAAAACATTGCATCAAATTTATTATTTTCTATAAATGTAGAAGATATAAAAAGATACAAGGGAATTTTCCTTTTCCATTAAGTATGGTGAGTGTCGTGTATATGAATCATTTACAATTCTTAGAAAAATGTTACTCAACATGGATACATGCTGGAAAACAATGTATAATGAGACAGCTCTAATAATACATTACAATTTGTTATCGAATAGCACATTGATGAAATGCGATGTTTACTTGATAATGATTATTAATTTATAACGATAAATTGTACAATAAGATTTTATTATCAGCAGCATGATTACCAGTATATATTTGAAAGAAGCCTCAAAAAGCACGAATTCATTTATTTTTCTACTTTCCTTGTTCTTAATCTTCAATCACTTCAAGGACAGGATAGCACGATTACATTATACATATATAAAAAAGTGAAAGGAGTTTATAAGAATTCATTGGAAATATTTATCCACTAATTTAACATCTATTTTGTACATATAATTTATTGTAAAATACTAATTCGTTGGGGGCGGGGGGGGGGGCAAATTTTTTTTAAAAAAGTTTACTTCACTCCGAAGTAAATTTTAGGGTAGAGTTGTCGATGAATTTCTGGGCCATCTTCGATTTCGATGATTTTGAAGCATGTTAGAAAGGATAGTATTTTGAATAACTTTTTCCTCTACCGATTATAGGCGGTTAGCCTTGGTTTCCGAGATATTTGCAAAAAACTTTCAGCGTCATACAAAAGACTCTCGCCTATACGTGTGCATCCATGAGACATGGCAAAGGCACAACCGGTGCGTCGGTACCAACGGGTCTGATTCCAGGAATCATTGATGTCTGCCATTTGCCAACCGAAGTACTTAGAAAGTATAATATAATATTTCGATTATCACTTATTACACGTCTTCAAAACGCACAGATGGACACCATAGTCATATATTACGGCGAATCGAGTATACCACGTTGTGTCCTAAAAAATTGAAGAAATCAGAGACATCAAGGAAGAGAATAAAATTGGAAAGCATATTAGTACTGCTATATATCTTTAAAATTCAAAAAATTGTACATACGATTTATATGGAACAGCAGCCATTGATAGTTTATGAGATCAGATCCATTGGATACCAACGCGCACCGGTTGTGCCTGTGTACACGTCATGAACACATACGCATAGGCGGGATTGAATCGTCTGGTGCCGAAAGCTTTTCGCTAATATTTTGGAAACTAAGACCGACCGAGCATAATTAACAGAGGAAAAAGTTATTCAAAATGTCGATTTCTATAAGATATTTTAAATTCATTGAAATCGGACGAAATCGACAAGTTCACCAATTTGATTTAATTAAATAATTAAATACAAATTTTAGTCAAAAAGAAAAAAGGTGTTACTTTCAAAAATAATTTATTGTAAAATCTAACATCGGGAACCATGAGATTCTTATTATGATAGTTATTCTGCTGTATGGTATAATCATCGAAAAAGATGTATAGAGACATTACCAGTATATAAATCCTTAATTTTTATCATATTGCAAACATTTATAGATATCGAAATTCCAACAACTGTTACAAATGACTAATGCCTTAATCTTCATTCAACATGCTTTATTTTCTCAACCTAACCGACTTGTAAATAATAATCCTTTGTTATCACCTACATAAGTATTATAATAATCTCTGAATGTGGATATATTCACTGGCATGGCATGTATAGTCCGTGCGAGAAATACAGGAAGCTCGCAAAATCAGGCGATCCTAAAAGTAGGAATGTTTCGACTAAAACGGTTAGATGAGACATTTAGAAAGAAATGGGACGCTCGAAACTCAAACAGTGACGTACGACTGCAATTCGGAATCGGTTACTTTCTTACCGGGTAAGGTCGGTAACAATGGTTCATGGAAGGTACTTTCAAAAATTTGAAATATTCGTATTATTAAATTAAGAGCAAACAATAGTTAACATGTTGACTGCCACATTGATCACCAGTGACCTTAGCTTGTTTTTTCAGTGAGGCCATGGTGGTCATCACTGACGGAAATGTTGAAATTGTTTAGATAATTAAAATAAAATGAATGTCGTTGACTAAAATATTTTGAATACCTAGATGACATTAGGAAGACACTATTTAATGATTAAAAAGTTTAACTAAAACGTGATATATTACACAAATTAAATAGTACAATATATAATGAAAATTCTATTGTGACTCTCTGGAAGCATCATAATATGAAATTTACAAGACGGTAAACATGTTAACGAACTAAGTCGAGGTTCCAAATTAACCGACAAAATTTTTCATCTTATTCACTCAAAACAATTTGACAATTTCAACGACGTCATTTTCGCATCGATCGAAGCTGCTGCTTAATACGATAATCTACGAGGGCACTATATTTTTTGCACAGACTATACGTATGATCAACGTACCATTGTGTCACAAGAACATTTTTTGTAGGTGGAATTCGTCGATAAAAATATTTTGAATAACATATGTTTGAAGAAAAATAAAACTGCATTATATCTTCCTATTTGTCTTCCTTACATGTTTTCATGAAATATTTATCACAACTATATCGAATTATTTCAATAATTATCAGATAAGATCGGGCGAATGCGAGAGTAAAAATAAAAAAATGTCTCGAAAAATATATTGACAATTGCAATAATTGTAATGATTGCTATGACTGAAATTTAGTTAAATAGGTAATAATAGTAATTGTTATGTTGATCAAACACTTAACAAACATTAATATTTTATTTGCAATTTAGCATCAAATGATATATAAATGCTAAACGTAAAGTTCATCATAAGTGGAGTGAATCAGACAGCGCACTTCATGCAGCTGACACAATCTAAAACGAATAAAAGATTGCGCGGCCGACAACAATTAATGAGTGCCTTATTCGAAAATGGGTTGTTTGTTCGTCAAAAAAGATAGCAAAAATAATAAAATAGGGAAAAAGGAGCTTCCATGATAGAAATAAAGGAGATGGATAGAGCGGTTACTGACCTCTGTATGTCAATAACACAACGACTATGACGCGCTACACCGTTTCGTCAAGATTGATTAAATTTAGTCCGGAAGGGACATAATACGGCAATCACGTTCTCCACTGTTCATCGCATAAAGACAGCACTGTATATACGGGCTTTATTAACTGCCGCGTGAAATTATAAAATTGCTCCTATCGGTGAATAACAAGTATGCAATGATAAGAGAACAAAAACAACATAAATTATACGGGAAACAAATTGATGGCATTGGCGTTAAATGGGATCAAAAGAATTAAGCCACTAGTGAAACACAAAAAGATAACTGCGTACCTTCGTCGTGATATTTGGGTTGTTATTTGGGAATTGTAAAGAAACATCCCTGCGCATTCGAGCTGACGTTTCACTGGTATCCGATAAATCGCCCCGATTGATCACAAGCCGCCGTTTATATCCATAAGATTCATAATCCTCCGTAATGTGAAGGGTTTTCGCTCTTTGACCAAATCTTTGTCCATTATTAAAACTCGTTAACAATAATAAATGAAATATAAGCGTCGTATAATAAAAAGCCGAAGTCACCCGGCCGGCCATCTTGCTCAGACTGACTTTCTTTAATCACCATGTATAAAATATATATAACTAGAAGTATATGTATATGTTATATGTTTCGTGCAAGATGTACTCAAGTTGAGCAACTGCGTGTTAAATTTAGTGTACGTTAATGCGCATGCGCGAATACTTTCTTGTATATCGGTCTTTAAGTACAATTGTAAATATTCAAACAACAATAAATAATAGTGCATTAAACTAAAATATTAAACCTAAATCAATATTTTATATTTTACAAGATTTTGATTCAATACATTGTAAGTAAAAACTGTAGTAAGAAAAGTTGCACATTGAAGATACGACCATACCTTGTGGTTGTTATCGATTGCATTTTGGAACACGCTTAAATTTAAATCGTATTAGAATCAGTTCCAAGAAAACATTTAAAATATCCCTTATACATCATTTGCAGAAATACAACGATGTTTCAAGTAATATTACCTGATTTATCGAAATTGTTATATACATTAATGTGCAAAATAACGAAGAAAAGTAACTCGTTGTAATTTTTACGAAAATAAAATATAGTACTACTTGTGAATATATAATTATCAAAATCATCAATAAAAAAAAATTGTTTGTAATAAAACTAAAAGCCATCACTGGGGGAGTAAGTACTTTTAATGGGGACTCCCAGATGTAATAATAAAACTACATTAGATAATGGCTATCATTTCCTGGCGACACCAAGGTCTCCCTCTGTTCATGGGACATGTATTTACGTAGTACGTACAATATAAAAAGTTTTTTGAACACTTTCCTAATCATTAAATACATTATCTAATAATCTTTTTGTAAAAGTCTATCATAAAAAAAAACAATTTGTAAAATATAATAAACTTTTAAAACTAAAATTGAATTAAACAAAAGTATAATTAAAACTTATACGACATGATTAAAATTATATCATAAAATTTAAAATACATATCAAAATAGTATTAGGATTTATAAATGAGGATGGAAATATTCGTAGGATTCTTTCGTATAAGTACAATCATAACATAGTTTTACAATTATCATATATTTCCTATTATAATCATTTTTATTCTTATAATTTACTGTCCTTTCATTATCTCTTATTTATATTTATATATATATTTATATTTATATATAAAACACATAGCTATGAAATATTGAGTTGTGTGTAGTGTAGCAATGCGACTCCGAATAGTTTAAAAAATATCCACTAAATGCACATGCATTAAACTAGAAAAAAGCGAACGTGTTATCGATTCCATTTTTCTTTTTCTTTTGATTAAGATCGTTAATTACTGCTTTTCTTCCTCTTGTCTAGGCGTATACTGCGTTATTCATGATCGTATGTACAAATTAGTGAAGCGCACAGTACAATATATAGAAAAAAGATGAGACGTTTTACAAACGTATCTCCAACATGTACTACTCGGAGGTCTCGTCAGGAGAAACATCGTTACCGCGTTAAGAAAAAGTGCGTTCCAAAAATATGGAATAAGTTAATGGCAATTGAAACGAGTCGCATTGTAATTGGACAATATTAAAACAAAAAATAAAGAATTCTTAAATAATCATTACTGAAAAAAATGGTCAAATACGCGGTTATTAAGTTTCAACCTTAAACCGTTCTTATATATTATATACGAAACAAAGAAACGAACATGATAAATATTTAAAAATGTCAAAAAAGAAGACAAAAAAAAAATAAAGAATAAGGAAGTTAACAATCACGTGAATCGCAACGTGATTAGCCGTTAGTATCAAGCGAGACACTTCAGATGGATTCAATATCAATTAGTCTGATCTAGTCTTATTCATAACAAAGCTCGCTTGATAAAAACTGCATCGTACACGCAGAAACGTCTATAAAGAACAATTAAATATCTCTTCTCCTTTCTTTTTTTAATTCCGTAGAATCGTGATATTTTGGGATCGTATATAAGAGGAAACTCTTTAAATTATTACACAATGTGTGTTCCATTTCTTTTTGCGCATTCGAGCTGACGTTTCACTGGTATCCGATAAATCGCCCCGATTGATCACAAGCCGCCGTTTATATCCATAAGATTCATAATCCTCCGTAATGTGAAGGGTTTTCGCTCTTTGACCAAATCTTTGTCCATTATTAAAACTCGTTAACAATAATAAATGAAATATAAGCGTCGTATAATAAAAAGCCGAAGTCACCCGGCCGGCCATCTTGCTCAGACTGACTTTCTTTAATCACCATGTATAAAATATATATAACTAGAAGTATATGTATATGTTATATGTTTCGTGCAAGATGTACTCAAGTTGAGCAACTGCGTGTTAAATTTAGTGTACGTTAATGCGCATGCGCGAATACTTTCTTGTATATCGGTCTTTAAGTACAATTGTAAATATTCAAACAACAATAAATAATAGTGCATTAAACTAAAATATTAAACCTAAATCAATATTTTATATTTTACAAGATTTTGATTCAATACATTGTAAGTAAAAACTGTAGTAAGAAAAGTTGCACATTGAAGATACGACCATACCTTGTGGTTGTTATCGATTGCATTTTGGAACACGCTTAAATTTAAATCGTATTAGAATCAGTTCCAAGAAAACATTTAAAATATCCCTTATACATCATTTGCAGAAATACAACGATGTTTCAAGTAATATTACCTGATTTATCGAAATTGTTATATACATTAATGTGCAAAATAACGAAGAAAAGTAACTCGTTGTAATTTTTACGAAAATAAAATATAGTACTACTTGTGAATATATAATTATCAAAATCATCAATAAAAAAAAATTGTTTGTAATAAAACTAAAAGCCATCACTGGGGGAGTAAGTACTTTTAATGGGGACTCCCAGATGTAATAATAAAACTACATTAGATAATGGCTATCATTTCCTGGCGACACCAAGGTCTCCCTCTGTTCATGGGACATGTATTTACGTAGTACGTACAATATAAAAAGTTTTTTGAACACTTTCCTAATCATTAAATACATTATCTAATAATCTTTTTGTAAAAGTCTATCATAAAAAAAAACAATTTGTAAAATATAATAAACTTTTAAAACTAAAATTGAATTAAACAAAAGTATAATTAAAACTTATACGACATGATTAAAATTATATCATAAAATTTAAAATACATATCAAAATAGTATTAGGATTTATAAATGAGGATGGAAATATTCGTAGGATTCTTTCGTATAAGTACAATCATAACATAGTTTTACAATTATCATATATTTCCTATTATAATCATTTTTATTCTTATAATTTACTGTCCTTTCATTATCTCTTATTTATATTTATATATATATTTATATTTATATATAAAACACATAGCTATGAAATATTGAGTTGTGTGTAGTGTAGCAATGCGACTCCGAATAGTTTAAAAAATATCCACTAAATGCACATGCATTAAACTAGAAAAAAGCGAACGTGTTATCGATTCCATTTTTCTTTTTCTTTTGATTAAGATCGTTAATTACTGCTTTTCTTCCTCTTGTCTAGGCGTATACTGCGTTATTCATGATCGTATGTACAAATTAGTGAAGCGCACAGTACAATATATAGAAAAAAGATGAGACGTTTTACAAACGTATCTCCAACATGTACTACTCGGAGGTCTCGTCAGGAGAAACATCGTTACCGCGTTAAGAAAAAGTGCGTTCCAAAAATATGGAATAAGTTAATGGCAATTGAAACGAGTCGCATTGTAATTGGACAATATTAAAACAAAAAATAAAGAATTCTTAAATAATCATTACTGAAAAAAATGGTCAAATACGCGGTTATTAAGTTTCAACCTTAAACCGTTCTTATATATTATATACGAAACAAAGAAACGAACATGATAAATATTTAAAAATGTCAAAAAAGAAGACAAAAAAAAAATAAAGAATAAGGAAGTTAACAATCACGTGAATCGCAACGTGATTAGCCGTTAGTATCAAGCGAGACACTTCAGATGGATTCAATATCAATTAGTCTGATCTAGTCTTATTCATAACAAAGCTCGCTTGATAAAAACTGCATCGTACACGCAGAAACGTCTATAAAGAACAATTAAATATCTCTTCTCCTTTCTTTTTTTAATTCCGTAGAATCGTGATATTTTGGGATCGTATATAAGAGGAAACTCTTTAAATTATTACACAATGTGTGTTCCATTTCTTTTTTTTATAATCCTCCAATGCGTATTCCCTTAGGGCGTAGCATATATTTAACAATTTTTTAAAAGCTAATTTATATTTATATTTATATATAATATTTATATATTTATTTATATATTTATATATATATCATGTCCCAAGTTAGTGTGCCGCTTAAAAATATATATATGGCAGTCATCGAAACGCAAACGAACCATTTGCGGAGAAACGCGAAATTAAAAAAAGAAGTGCAGGGCGAGAAAGTGTACGTGTATATAAACGTTATAAATGAACGTGCATCGATGGAGGTGTTTACAACAGTTAAAACAGAAATCGTAAATTAAAAAACAACGCTTCTTTCCTTAAGACGAACAACAACGAGTATCAAGTCACTGCACAAGTTCTGATAAGACTTTTTCCTAAAATAGAAACATCTTCGCATTCTAAGCCGCTACAAATGTTATCTACGTAGTATAAAAAGTGCTAGAAGATACTTTTCAATTATTTCAACAGGCATTCTTGTATTTAAAATGAGAATATAGATATCTCTCAAGGCATTGCTTCTCGAATTCCTCTTTAATAGCAAACGTCCATTTAAGGAAGACGTTTATGCAACTTGTAAAAACATAGAAAATTGTTAGAAGTAATGTTAGCAAATACATACTATTCATAATAGAAGATCATTTTACCTAGCTATCTTTCATGTTTGATATTTGATTCTTATGGATTATAACTTCGGGTTTGATCTTCTGAATCATCTTGAACAGCGTGAATTTAAGATCGCATTCTTATTAGATTTACAACACACAGAACCCTTGCAGCAACATGACATCAATTAAAAATTACTAAAACAAAAGATCGCCTTGACGACATTATAAAACGATATCAAACGTAAAATACCACGTATTAAATTACAAAATCTAACTCATACTGTGTTTACCATTAACAATAGTATCGCCTTACCATGCAAATATACTAGAACAATGGACAATTCAATTTTGACAATCAATATTCCTGTCCGAGTAACTGATTCACGCTAACGTGGGACATTATCGAATGTGTTGTGTATGTATGTGTGTGTCACTTTTTCAACTAGCGATATATTGCAGTGTCCAAAAATTCCTTGAAGAAACTAGAAATGCAATTAGAGACTTCAAATGGACTACACACGCCTGAAATGTTTTGAACACATACAGACAGCTGTTTAAATATTCTCTATTATTTTTCTTTTATCCCGTGGCGAATAGTAATTGAAGATGATAGGCGTAAAGTTTTCATAAAACGACACGGGTTTTATAGCAAGTTGAGTCTTCCTTCAATTTGTTTCTTTCTTTCTTTTCTTTTTCCTTTTTTCTTTCTTACTTTCTTTTTTTTTTTGCAACCACGATGTCCGCGTGTATATCTCCTAATTTGTATAATTAGCGTTGCTTTTTTTTTATTTGTTAACCACGTAGAGCGACGAAACATTTCTTTTAATCTGTGTGTGTTGTGCTGAGCGGCTTATACCGAACTTCACTGCTCCAGTTTAGCTGAAAATTGGCAAAACAAAGCAAACGTTAAATTAAAAAGTGTTAATATACTGTGCGTAGGAGGCATGGGAATGTATGCGTGTGTTTTCTCAATACTAAATAACAATTTTTATAGATGAGGCGTAGAGCTAATATCGTCCGATTCCTGAATAAATTTCTAGGAATATTGTAAATTTAAACATTAGAGATTAAGAAACCAATCAATTTTTCCCCCAAATATGTCCTTTAACAACACTTAAAATATCTTAAGATAATTTGCTAATAATTTAGTTTAACATTCATGATACTGATATAACATGTTATATATCCATAAGGAAAAGAGTGCAGTCTATTTTTATCCTATCTATTCTTGAAATATTTCTTCTTTAAAGCTGTTTCAAAATTGAATTTCTAATTCGGACATTTTCTTTAATTTGAAAAATAAAATAAAATGAATAGGTTGAAATAAACTACCTTATATGTATGGAAACAATAATACTACGTTTCAAAATATCTTTTAATTGTGCTAAATGAGTGCTATACTATCGCTCAAGGTCTGATACGAGCAAATACGAATGCTACACACAAATTTGGACAATTAAAGTAAATATGCATGAGTCAGCTCGGTCGTTTAGGAGCTGCACACATCTAGGTATCACGTATAGTGTCACAATGTACCTCCAACATTAGCAGATAACAGTGTTATATCTTACTCAAAATCAAGATGAAATCTTTGAAAGTTTTTTTTCCGACCAGCAAAGAAGCGTGAATAAATGATATATGTATATGATGACATAATGAAGCAATGACAAAAGGATGGCCACAATATAATCCAACAATAATATACAATAAATTATGTATGTCTACGCATATATAATAATAATACATTATACTAGAGCGAACGAAAGAAACGTTTCATGATAAAGCAATGAAAAATGCGTATAAGAAGCGCCTGTGAACTGAGCTTGGTTTGGTGACACGATTAAAATGATTGTGTTTCATATTCTTCTTATTCTTTTCTCGAATGAGTCAAATATATTCGGTTTGGATGTCTGGAAATGTTTTGTCGCTAAAATACAGCTGCTTGTTTATGGATGACAATCACCCATCGCAATTCGTTGATCCGCTGATATTATACTTTTTAGTAAAACAGAAACCATATTTTGGCGGAATACAACATTCCTTTTTAATTTATCTTCCAGTCTCTTCCCTTCAGATATTTTATTATTCATACACCTTCACGTTCAAGTGATATTTATCAATTTTACTAAATTATATACTCCATAAAATTCTAGGATCTTCAAATACAATAATTTCAGAAACACGAACCCTCTAAATCTTTTTTAACATTTAATTATATATAGTTTCGTTTAATTTTATTTAGAACAGCATTACTTTCTAGAAACGAAGAAGCTTGTAGAAAATAAAGTAGAAATTAAAAATTTCTTTTTATTACAATCATTAAAAATTGTTATTTTACTTCAAATTCTTATTATATTTTTCTCAAAAATGAATAACTGTTATCATAAAAAAAAAATAAACAGAACGGATAACGAGATATGACTGCAATTAGCGACTTGAACGTTATTAAAGGAACCTTTTATGGTTGCGCATATGAAACACAGTTAAGCACTGCACGTACAAGTTCCCTTCATTAAAGAGAACCTCAATTATGATATACATCATTCCGCATTCACAATTGGAAGAACATTCCTCTTGTACTTCTCGAGATATGCTAATGAATAAAAAAAAAAAAAAAAAAAAATAAGTAAAAATAAAAGAAACAAAAAGATGTAACAGATGAAGAGAGAAAAAATAACTGGTAAACGATGATCAATGAAAATCGTGCAGCAGTACGACGGTAAAAGATGATCTAATGATTGTTTATGCGACTCACCGCAATCTCTCTAAATGTTGTTCCAATTGTGTACTGTTTTCTTACAGTTCATTGGTTTCACACTTTCTACTTTTTGGCTTTTCTAAAATATGATAAATGCAAAATGTGATCGGATGAAATGGAAAGATGTCTGCCAGCGTTAAACGTATAAACTGTGAGATGAAAATGACATGCCTGACAAAACCTCAAATCTTTCAAGCAATCGTAATAATTCATTGGTCATCACCTGTCACTTTTATAACAGCGATTAACGAAGCTTTGTTTTACTTAACTCGCAAGGATGCAAATGACGACAGCCTAGCGAAAATTTAGATCACTGGATGGTTTTAATGCAAGAGAAAGAAAAAATGTTAGAAAGTTCATGATTAACACGAACACCCTGAAAATTTTTACACGATTAAATCCAATACGAGCAATTAACTATGCTTATTAACAATTGACACAACGTTTACAATAAATAAATGAGAAAATGGTGATTTAACAGTCATCGACATAAATAGAAATATATGAAAAATGACACGAGTAATGAAAAGCTCTTTTATGAAAGTTGTAGTCGATTTAAGATGAATGATGATTAAAGAAAAGAAAATAGATTTAAAAAACAAAGCGCTCGACTGGAGATACTTCATTTCCTATCCAATTCCATAAATCTTGTCATTTCTTTTTTTTTCTTTTTTTCTTCTTTTTTCTTTTTTTTTTTTTTCTTTTTTATTTTACGTGATATGTTGGCGTCACGTGAACGTATCGTTATACGTATCATCACCTTTTCTAAATCGTTTCAGATACTTCTAACAAGAGACTCACTTTTTCTTGAGAGTGAAGAAACTACGCCGCTTGGTCTCGGCTTGTGTGGGCGCAGGTAAAGTATGCGCCCTGGACGTGCCTGCACCTGATGTACCTTGTGCTGCTTGATTCAATACGGTAACCCATTCATTCATTTCAGCATCATCCTTAGCCTGAAATAGGAAGTCTGAACCGATTTGTGATCTGAAAAACATGACATTTTTAATCAATTTTCCCCTTTATAACTTCTCACATTAACAAGTATAGGAAGAAAAAGAAGATAAGAGAACGAAGAAAAATATTTGACGCATTTTTAACACGCGATGCTCAAATACTGTTCGCCTTCTCATTTTACCTCGTTAGAAGTACAGACAGAACTCACTTTACTCGGAAGACATGTTTCTTCTTAGTGTAATCGCTCGCCACGGTGATGGTTGCTCCTCTGAGGTCCAGAGGAGTCTCTCCCTTGTACGGTTGATCAGGCGCTGCCTTATACGATTTTTGGTCCGTATATGCAAACAAACTTTGTCCACGTACGACCATGTACACCTTATGCCAGGACCGATTGGACGCCTTCTTCGTTGTACTCTCCCATTCGTGCTTTCGTTGCAACACACCTTCGAATTCATCATCGGTGGGACTTCGTTGTTCTGTAAAATAGAATCAAATTTAAAACCAAACTGTCAAACAGATAGAAACGATAGAAACTATAACTACGAACGGTATGTGAAAGAATAAAAAGAAAAAAGAATAATCTACGTTACAACATCCAGCTTCCTTCAAACGTTTAACACAGCTGCAAATATAATTATACATATACTGGAAGGAATCCGTTCGTGTAGGAAGACCTGAACAGTTAATCAGATAGACGTTAAACGATGTTGGAATGCAATTCAGGCAGCCAAACGTATACACGCATACACAGCACAGTACCAGTCGCAAACTTAATTCTGATCACGTATGATTAGTAGGATGCATACATTATTAATGTTTCCATAGCCCAGATTCCTAACGTGTTTCATTCAACATCCCTCGTACACGTACTCGAAACACACATACGCAATTCAGGAAATTAAGGGAACACTTCCTGTGATCGCCAATGAAGCTGAAATGATAAAAGGTGTGTAGTTGTTCTTCGACACTGGAAGCTTTCTTTCCATAGGCTTATATACCTAGATAAAATACACCAATCAATGTATAAATATATGTCGATCGATTATCAACTTGCGTTAATTCCATTAGATTTACCATAGCGATGGAGCGAAGTTCCATAAATGTGAATACTAAATTAAATATTAATATCGTATAATGAAATATATATTATAGAGATATTATCAATTCCAGGTCTTTAAAATGGTGGATATGCGTAATGATAGCAACGAAGCACCTATGTGATCGACGTGAAGTAATATTGCTTACCGGAAATGCTGCGCTCATCATCACTCACGCCACTGCGATCTAAACTTGGCGACTTGGCAGACTTTCTCCAGCGGAAACTCCTGAACGGCGACTTGCTGCGACTACGTTCCTTACGTCTTAAAGTACCAGACTCGGAACCGCTTCCACCTTTCGGAGCTTTCAACACGATACACACAACACACGCGATGTTATTAGCTACTTACACGTCACATCGAGAACCTAGTTTATTTGGGATCATGGTCAAAGGAGAGCGATAGGCGAGGATACTTGTTAAATTCGTATCAACTTACTGCTCATGCAACATGCTCATGCTAGATCTACTTATGTATATCCGACAAGATATATATTCTGACGAAAGAATAGGTCCTCCTTTGATCATTTGCATCTATCAATTTCAACGTTTTTTAAAATGACATTCAATGAAAAGAAGAAATTCTACGATATTTATATTCTGCCAGACAGCCTGTGCCTGCATTGAAAGGTTGCTTTCAAAATGGCTATTCTAGGTTCTTTGAAAATTCGAAATTAACAGTAACCGTTATCAAACTGTACATATATGTAGAGATATAAGGATAACTCGTTTTTTCTCTCCCAGCTTTTGTTTTCGTTATTAGAAACGATGTTTGCCAGTGTTCACGTTTATAGATAGGAACAACTATTCTCTACGTCTCTTTTACCCTTTTCTAACCCACCATGGCAATTTTCGATCCGTTTTATAAAGATAAGCTAGAACTGGGCGACGTCTGTTGCGAGGAGCAACCACAGAGACCACGTGAACCGAAAGTACACGCGGTACCTGCACTCTTGACCCCAGCACCAGACTGGTCAGGTGTCGCAGTAGTTGACTCAAAGATACACAACATATCTCTGAAGGACTACAAGGGAAAGTACTTAATATTGTTCTTTTACCCTTATGATTTCACCTTCATCTGCCCTACGGAAATGATACAGTTCAATGATCGTATTGAGGAATTCCACAAATTAGGTATATTACTCGTTCCTTACTTCTCCTTTTATAAATTTTTCTTTGATTAATAAATCTTTCTTTAAAGAAAAAGATTCTGTCCTTTCTTTACTCTGTATACCTCCTTTAATTACTCTATATGCTCTATCCTTTACTCTACATGCTTTGTAATTACCCCTTTATCTAACGTAATTGATACCAAGAAATTCAAAGAAGATTTATTCCATATCCTGTATAGGATGCAAGATAGTAGCCATTTCCACGGACTCCCAATTCTCTCATTTAGCGTGGGTTATCACACCCCGAAAGCAAGGTGGTCTGGGAAACATGGATATAGCCATTCTGTCCGACAAGAACCATAAAATTTCGAAAATGTATGGAGTGCTCGATGAGGAGGAAGGAATATCCCTGAAGGCACTGTTCATCATCGATGAAAATCAATTGATTCGACATATTACGATCCATGAGATATGCTCTTCACGTTCCGTCGACGAAACACTGAGGATTTTGGAAGCGTGTAAATTCGTGGATAAATATGGAAATACCTGTCCTGCTGGTCCAAGGGAGAGTCTATCTAGTGTGAACAACGAGGCAGACTTTTTTAAGGCATAACCATTAACGTAATTTTTATAGAGTCCTCTTCAATTTTATTTTCTAGATAGGATAATCTTCTTTGAATTTCTTGGTGTTTTATATTTTCTTTTCATCGTCGAACTGATTACCTCGTGAAATTCTGAAACGAAACTCTTGCTGCTATGATTAGATAATCTGGTTGATTTTGTGATAAATTTTGGTATGGTGTATTTTATATCTTTATTTTGTGGGAGATTAATAAAGAGGATAATAATCCTTGAAGTGAACTTACTTGTTGGACTAGATAGACCTTGCGGAGATTTCGTGGGGGTGGTGGGTTGTGTTGCTTCTCCTCGTATGGATAGACGTGCAAGTTTCTGAGCATGCACTATATATACCATTACACCAATTTTAACATGCTGTATAAATCGAATACTCGGGGTAAAAATATTCTATGAAAATGAATTTTCTAATAACACAATGGCTATATGTCTGTTAAATTACTTATCACAATAAGCAAAGCAGACTGTTAGGAATATGAAAATAATTTTCAAGCTGTGGAGGATGAATACAGCATAGAGATACAATCAGAATTGTAGATTGAAATTGACTGACAATGAAAGAACAAGTTGCTGTAAAAGCATTTGCTGTTACACAGAAAAAAGTTAGATGCACATACAAGCATGCTTCAAAATGTATATCTAATTTTTAACACCAATCTGTATGTAGTCACCATTTGTGTGTGTGTGTGTGTGCTTACCTTCCATATAAAGATTACATTCTATCGTACACTACTAATTAAACAAATAAAAACGATTTGATTTCGTATAATTTGTACCCACCATTTTCATTTAGAATATTACTTGCACTAATTCGCGTATAAATGAAATTTAACATTATGTCTTCTGAATTATGTTCAAAAAGATATTACTAATTATTTTGTAATATAAATACTCGTGTGTCTCAGGTAGAGTGACTCCATCACCTGCTAAAAACAGTTAATAAAAGCAAGTAAACGGTTGCAGCTGCGATTATAGCGATAGGTGGTAGTAATTGGCCTAAGAATATGCTGAAAGACATAAAGATCATATGAAATTGGTCATTTAACTCGAATCGTGGAAGAATAAAATTAGAGTGTTAGAAGTTTGTTTCGTAATTTCAAACAGACGAAAGTCTAATATAAGTAAAAATAATTTTCATCGTACCTTCCAAATATAATTGCACAATTCGAGGTAAATATTTCCATGAAAAGAAAGAGAGGAAAACGTTGCCGCAAAACACTGCCAGATGATTTAATTTTATGCTCCATCACCAGCTTAAAGGATCGATATAGCAGGATCTATATATAAAGTGCAATTCAATCATCAAATACCAGAGTCTTGTTTATAGAACAAGTACAGAAAGTTACCACTATGAGGGAATAAACAATCAGCAACAAGTTACGCAACATTTCTAAAAAAAAAACACTTGACTTTTCTCTTATAGAAGAGAGCACTGGTATTTGATAAAGTGATGCTGTTAAGAAATGATAATAAAATTAGTTTACACGATACATTATTTTCTGTAATAATGATTCGTCTATATCCTGAAAAAGATTTGATAACCCTCTGGACTCATTAACAGCAATGACAGAAGTCATATGATGTAAAAATGAATTGTGCAAAAAGTGAAACAAATAATGCGATAAAAACTTAACATACATATGATGCGTTAAATGGTAAATAAATAGCACAAACACAATTTGTGTTATATGATATTGAATTCTAATATAAATGTATAAGAACGACTTCTTAAGATAATCGTTTAGAAATAAAAACGATATAGGTTGAAGTGCAAAATTGGCGATATTCGTTTCAATGGGACACTCACCTTCCTTGGGCTTGTCTTGCGGCTGTGGTGTACGTGTAGAAGCCTTGCGATGTGCCACTGTGGTTTGTGCATTCCGTGCCGCGTTTTAAGGTGCGTTTTAGGGAGGGACCAATCGTTGGAATTCATCGGATTTTTCGTTTGGAACGGAGGCACAGTTTCGAGATAAGGTTGGAAAGAGAGAAGGCAAAAATAAACGTGCTGTTAGCAATTTCATGCTTATCCAAACAAACCAGTTTATAAAAACCAGTCGTCTAAGAGTTAAGTGTACAAGATACGTGAAAAGCAAAATCGTACGATACATATTGTATTAGTAGAACAATAATGAAAAAAAAAAGAAAACAGAAAAAAATAAACATTTCTATTCAGTCTTTATAGTTGAATCGAGCACTCAACGATCGTGAATTCCAAATTATCATTGGTTCTGCAAGACATTAGATTGAAATATTTTCATCGATCGTTTCAAAGCATCCAAAGAAAATATGCTCTTTTTTTAGACATCTTAGTGGTTGTTTAAATAGATTGTTATTTATATTTTTTGATGCATTGAAGAGTGAACATTGCGATGCAACGTATATGACACTCTTATCAAACTACCTTTCAAGATATTATGCAGCAAACATATTATTATCTTACCATGTGAGTCGTCTTCTTCAGCTGGATGTTCTCCACTTGCAGGACGTATACCTTCCGCTTCGGCTCTATTGCATAAAAATACGTTTTCAATGTTATTTCATATTTGACTTTATTTTATTCTAATTTTCCTACTAGGTGTTAGACTCAGTGCAATATAATTTCATTACTGGTCAAATATTTCCTGTCTTGCAAAATAATTTTTAAATAAAGTATGTAAGGAAGATATACTAAGACTTAGTGCACCTTTCACTAGGCGATTCGTCTGGACTAGTTACTGGTGTTGCTTTAGCTAATCGAGCTGCCTCAGCTGCTGCTGCCTCCTCTTTCTTGCGTCTCTCTTCTTCCTCTCGTTCTTGTTCCCTCCTCTTCATTTCTTTCAACTCAAACTGCACAGGCATACCAATTTTAATTGAATAAATCGTACAAATTAATATTGCTGATTTTAAGGAAGAAATACACTAACCGTTGTGAGTCGATGCAAGGCACTAAACCTTTCTTCCTGAGCAGCTGCCGATTTTTCGAATGCTTCGTGCTTCTTAATCAAATTCTCCACGTCATGGATCGTATGCTGCAATAAATACATTTAATAACGATATTCAGCGATTATGTTAAAAATTAATTTAACACGTCACTTACGCCGAGTTCCTGACTCATAAGATATGATTCTTGAGCGATCAACCATGCTTCAGCGACCGCTGCGTCTCTTGCGAACTGGTATACCTCCAAAACTGCAGTAAGAAACACGAGCTGTTAATAACATAATTTTTATCATTTTTTTACGCAATAAATATCCATATATTTACTCAGTTGCAAGTTCTCCCAACGCTCCTCCCATCTATGGAGCAACGCATTTCTATGATCAGTCAGAGCTGCCAATTTTTCTTTGATTTGACTGCTGGCGTAATGATTCCTGGCTAACAAGTCCTTCCCAAGATTAATACAGGCCATCAGGTTGTCTTCTCTAGCATCTATTTCAGCTTTCAAACTTTGATGGTTGTTCATTAGCAATTCTACTCCAGCAACGTCGCGAGGTTTTTCTGAGGTGTTCATGTGACGAACCACATCATCCATCCAAATCATCAAAGTCCTAACCATGTTGAAGAATCGGAACAAATCACCAGTATCTTCTAGTTTTGTTCTTCTGGCGTCGCATAACGACTGAAGGTTGTTCCAAGCAGCGACCACCTCTCCTTCGCGATTAGTTATCTCTCTAGCCTTGTCACCAGCATAACTAGCCTGTAATTTAGCAGATTCCTCTTGAATCTGCGACACCTGACTCTGCAACGTGGAGAGATCCTGCATGAAATTAGCATGCTTCCGTTGCAGAGCAGAAACTGAGCCAGCATCACGACCTAATTCATCAGACATGGCATTCTGTTTTTCCAAGATTCTTCCAAGTACGTCTTTGCAGTCATGGAAGAACTTGTGCAACTCTCGACTAGCTTGTAACATCTGTGTACGAGTTTCAATTAATTCCAACAAGTCTTGCCATACTTCGTTCAAGCCATCCTTCCATTCTGCAATAGTAGCAGCATCAGAGTGTCCAGTCGCTATTAGAGAATCTGCAATTCCATTTACTGCGGCCACTCTTTCTGAGCCTATTGCCTCGGTGTCTCGAGCAAACTCTTTAAACCTCTCCCAAAGAAGTGTCACATGATCATAGTCCTGACCCAATTCATGACTTCCAGCTACTAATTCTCTTTCTGTGATCCATTGTTCCAAGTCGTCCACTTCTCTATTCAGCATGTACAACTGAAGAGCTTCATCTAGTTTGGCTCGACGTTCACCAGCAAGATCTTTCAGACCAGCATATAGTTTGTCCACCTGTGACTGTTTAACGGCAATCTGATCGGCAAGAGGATGTTGATCGTTAATAAGCTGTCTGGCAGTTTCTCCAAGCTGCCGAATCGTTTCTGCATAGTCCTCTACTGCATGCTCCAAAGACTCGTGTTTCTTCATTAGGTTTTGAGCAGAGATCTCGTCCTTGCCACGATCTTCTACCATCATGTATAGTTCTTGTTCGCTCATCCAGGATTCTGCTTCTGTTGCGTCGAAGAAATATTGTTGTGCCTTCTCGTTTTGCAGGAGATGCTTGTTCCTGTCATCCACAGCATGCTTCAATTCTTTCCATTTCTCGGTTAACTCGGGTATCAATTTCTGGAACTCGGGACTATCCTCGTGGCCTTCATCTATGAGTTTCTGTCCATTGTTGCAGACTAAATTAATTCTGGGCTCGTGATTCTCTATTTCAGTACGCAAAGACTGGTTCTTCTTCTTTAGCATATGCACGTTGAACAAAGAGTTTCCATATTCTGTACTGGTAGCCTGAGGCATTTTCTCGGCGATCCAGAGCTTTTCGTCTTCCACGTCGCGCCTGAACTGGAAGGCCTCCTTTTTCTTTTCTAACTGACGTTGACGATCTATCAACGGTGCCTTCAATTGAGCGAATCTCTGTGCTACCTTTTCTTTCTTGCACTTGATCTCCTCCATCTTATCATCAGGTACAGTACGCTGCAAGTGTTCAGCCTGTTTGTCCAATTCAGTAACTTGTCTGGCTTTTACAGCCATCTGTGTTTCAATCATCTGTTGCTTCTGCATCAGAATATTCACCGACGCTAAATCGGATCCAGTGTCCGTACTTTCAATTTGTTTTTCTAATTCATTCATCCAGGAATCAATGTCATCGCAAGTCTGATGAATGAGTACTTCGCGATTAGCGTCGAATAGACGTTCACCTTTGTCATGCGTGGTGGTTTCAAGTTCCTCAAACTGGTCAGCCAATTCTGCCACTTTGGGTTTGATAATCTCAGCGAGATCAGGTTTCTGTTGAATTAATTCTTCAGCAGCCTGTTGTAATTGCTGCAAACGATCCTTATTGCTCGCGATCTCGGCTTCGAACGCTTGGTGTCTAGTCCACTTGCTGTGTACCGTCTTGGCACTTCTATAAGTCTCATCTTGGGCAGTAATATGTTTCTCTTGAACCCACTCTCCCAATTCCTCGCAATCCTGCAAGAACATCTGTAACTGCAACTGATCTTTAAGTTTCTCCATGTACTGATTCGCCTTCTCTCGGTTTATTCGACGACGCTCGTTTATGTTCTCTGCCTTCGTCTTGACTTTGTCTGCCGCGAAGTGGCCCTCGTCGACAAGTCGTCCGGCAAACTGCACTACGGAATTAATCTTTTCATCGTTTGCGTCCATCGTAGTCATGAACGCTTCGTGCCGTTTGATCATGTGTTCCGCCTGTTCGAAGTTCGCCGGCGTTTCATCTTTGGCGAGAATGTGCTCTTGTTGGGACAAAAGTACTTCTGCCTGACGAGCGTCGCGATCGAAGATTTGTAGATTCAGAGAATTGGACAATAATATCTTCCTGTTGACCCACATCTGGTGTAATTCTTCCCAGCCCATCTTCAGAGCGTTCAATCTCTCCCTGAGGAACATGTATTGCGTATCACCATCGCCGGCCTCACTGGTCAGTCTTTCACCGTATTCCATCATCTTCTGGTAATCGTCAGTGTAGTTATCAATTTCTTCCTTAATATTCTGATGTTGTATTAAGAGTTTCTCTGCATCAGCCAGCGTGGTTGGAGTATCTTCGCTGGCCACGTCAGTCTGTGTCTTGGTTAGCCAAGCCTGGAAGTGATCCAGATCTCTGAGGAATCTGTGAAGATCACCTGCTTCTTCCAGTTTCGCATCACGCTCCTTCAACATCTGCGTCAACTGCTCCCAGATAGTATGAATCTGGTCAATCCTTCCCTTTATCACCTCAGGATCTTCCAAGTTCTGTTGTTGAATATTCTGAGCCTCCATCTCCAAGGCGTCCAATTTGGCCTGAATGGCTGCCAAATCGCGTTCCATACCACTTAGTCTACGTTGTAAAGTCATGACTCCTGTCAGATCCATCTCTAAACTGTCCGTTTGCTGGAGGATACGTTTCTTGTCTTCGATCCAGGATACTGTTTCGCGACATTCGATGTGGAAGGTTTGTACACCATGAGCAGAATTCAATTCGTCACGCTTATTTTCTGCTTTCTCGCGGAGTTCTGCCCATTTCTGGTTCAGCTCGTTCTGACGTGCCACAATTTGCTCAGAATTAGGATGTTCAACGTGCAATAATTGCCTTGCCAGTTGGTTCACCACGGCAACTCGTGATGCATTAGCATACATCTCCTTTTCGAAGCCATTGTATCTGTGTTTCATGATTTCAACATCTTCGATATCCTTGGCTGGTACCATGGTCTCCAGCATTCGATTCTTCTCACCGATCCACTGTTCCACTCCGTCTGACTCGCTGAACAACTTGTACAACGATAATGCATCCAACAATCTCTGTTTGCGAAGTTTGGCAAGTTCCATAAGTTCCTTGTACCTCAAGTCTATAGAAGCTAATCTTTCTAGTACCTCCGGTGACTTGGCGTCCTGTTCACCAAGAGACGATGCTTGTTGATGAAGCTGATCGATAGTAGCAGCATAATTCTTAAGTTCATCTGTTACATCCTTATGTTTCTTCAACAGTGACTGAACATTGGCTTCATCTCTGCCAACGTCTTCCGATGAAACGAGTCGCAATGTATCCAACATCCAGATATCAATGTCATCAGCATCTGCAAACAGTTGATGGTAATCTACAGCTTCCTCTAAGCGCTTCCTTCTGAAAGCAGCCAAATCCAGGAGATGATTCCACATTCCCAGAATTTCCTGAAGCCTTTCCTGAATCCTATCAGAACCAAAGTGTTTCTGACGAACCAGTTCATCTCCAACAGCAGCTACAGACATCAATTGTGGTTCGTGAGACTGAATCTCGTTCTCCAAAGCTTTGTGCTTCGATAACAACAAATTGATGGTAGTCAAATCGTGACCAATGTCTCCAGTTGACACAATCTGTTCCTTCTCCTTTATCCAATTCTCCTCGTCAGCCATATCCCAATAGAACTGCCACAATTTACGAGACTCTTCTAATCTAGCTCTACGTTCAACTGCCAAGCGTACCAGTTCGGCATACGCGTCTTCAAGTTGTTGCACACGCTCTACGATAATGGTTGGACCGCATGGTCGGTAATCTTCGCTATCTACCAAGAATCTCTGGCTCTGTTGAACAACTGCCTTTACCCTCTCACCCAGAACGTTGATATCAGCTTCTACCAGGGAATGCTTCTGTAAGAGGTCCTCGACACCCATCAAATGTTTTCCATAATCATCCGTCAACAAACGCATCTTTATCTCCTCCATACTGTCAAGAATGTACAGCATCTCCTGGAAGTTCTGTTGCAATTGCAGAGACAGTTCCAATCTCATCCTTCTAGCATGAAGCAATTGTAACAAATAATTCCACAATCTAAGAACATTATCTTTGCGTGCGTTAATACGTTCGATATCGTGATAGTTCTCGGCTCTCAGTTCTTGCGAAACCGCCATTACAGCTTGAACTCGTTCTTCATACGCAAATATGTCTGTTTCGATGGCTTCGTGCTTCTTGGCCGCAGCTTCCACCGCAGCTAAATCGAAACCGAAGTTATCCTGGACAACTAAACGTTGATTCTCGGATAACCAAGTCTCTCTCATACTAGCCTTTCGATTGAATCTCGCTGCTAGCTGTTCTAATTTCTCCTGACGGATTAATTCTTCGCGCAGAGCTAATTCGCGTTCGTGTTCCGCCTTTTCTAATCTCTCCCACGCTTTGTTAATATCCGAGATCATTTTACCCTCCTTAGGTGTATATGGTTTTTGATTATTTGCTCGCATTTTCGATTGTAACGTGAAAAGTAATACTTCCAAGTTGCCTTTCTCGACAAATTTCGGTGGTTTCTCTACAGTACGATAATTCGAGAACTGGGAAAGCTGAGACTGCACACCTACTAGGGAATTGGTGAATCGACGATCGCCTAAAGCCTCTATGGTACCCTCTATCCAACGCAACAGGTCACTGGTTAGACTCTCGTATTCGTGTATCATACGGTCGTTCTCCATGGCAATACCGACCACTTTACCTATCCTTTTACCTTGCACAGTCTCCTGCTTCATCTTGGAGAAGTAATGATAATAGGTGACCACATAGGTGATGATTGACTTTTCATCAGGGTGGTCCACAAATATATCTTCAGCGTCTAAAAGTTTCGTGAGACCTAACTTATCTTCAGCTACGTTGAACGCGTTGTTTAAGTTATAAATGGCATTAGACTTGGAAAGTTTCTCAAACTGGATCAAGTCTGGACGGTGCTTGTGAATGATGGCGTTGAAGGCTAATCCATCGCGCCAGGATGTAGTGAAATTCCGTACGTTTACATTGTGATAACCGGCCGTTTTCATTTGACACCAAAGAAGCAACGCGTCTTTCGCCGATTTCGTTTCTTGATTGTCCGTTTCCTCGATGGTAATGTCTTGAATTTGAAATCGTAAAATGATAGTCCAAATGAGACCAAGGCTCAGACGGGGGTTCCCATCGACTATATCGTGGGACCCCATGTTCTCCAAATGCACTCGTTGTTCGCGAAGGAATTGCAGCGCTTTATCGACATTTTCCAAACAATGGATTCGCATTTTTCCTTTTGTAGGTCGTGGCAAACGTTCTCCGGAGAGGATCTCGAGAAGCTTGATGAGCATTTTTCCATCTCGGAGGTCGACATAGAGGTCGCCAATTCGGCAGGAACACCGGACCAGGTGGGAGTTGACCCATTTTTGAAAAGTCTTCTTTTGTACCAATTCACGTTCACCTGAAGTGTAAAAGCACGCGATTGGTTAAATGCTACAAGAAAGAAAACATCTTCGCTCATCCCTAAATTGCAAATATCCTAATTCCCTATTCTTTACCTCTCAAGTCAAGTACTACTTTATCGTAATCCATATTGAAATGAATTCAGGTTGCCCGTTTAATCATATCTACCACGATTTGTTCTCTCTACATTTTTATAATACAAGTGCTAGACTATTTCAAAACTTGTTGTACGATTACTACTAAGAATCTCCTATCGAGGAGCCTAGACTTTAAAGCTTGCACTTATCAAACCGGTATCTATATCAAAGGATGTGGCAACAGTTAGCTTTGCCGTTTTATTTCCACATGCAGTCAGTAAAACATCGTCGTACAAACCGATGTGCTTTGCAATTGAACTTGAACAAACTACGTTGTCATCGTCATTAACATAGTCGCAGAGTATATTCGTTTGGAAAAGCCAACTACTAAAATCCTCGAAGCAAAAACCTCTCGTGGACCAAGTATATCTTTTACGGCTTCACATCGATTACCTCGCGTTGCAAATTCACGAACGTGACCGATCGATTCTGCATTATCAAAAGGATCTGCCAAACGTTTAGCCTTGCAATCGCGTTGTTCTCCCCGGGAACAACGTCCGGCGTTGGGATATCGTTCGAATCGGATGGACCACGAAAGGGTGAAAGCAAAGAAAAGAGGAAAGGGAGGCGTACCAGCTAAAGCTTTGATTCGGGAACGTTCGAAAAGTCTCGAACTCGAGTTTCCTCCGTCGTATTCGTACTCATCGACAATCTCTTGTTGTAGCGTGGGGTCCCAACCCCCGCGCACCACCGAGATGTCGGTCGTCATTTTGTCAATCGGACCAACAACTCACTTCTGTCTTACCCTTCGAAAGGGCGCTCCTGGAACAGAATAATGGAACGTTGATTAACCTGACAACTGGCAAACGGTAGAAAATATTTTTACTCTAATCGTGCCTTAAAAGTATTCCAACAGCCGCTATCGCAATTTATCCAAGATAAAGAGTCATTTTTCACGCTCACGAAGTAATCAGATGCAAGTGGAATGGAGTGTATATGAAACTCGCCGATCTACGAAGTTTATAACGAAAGAAATCGTGAATTTGTGTTATAATTATTTGGTTAAAAGAGTTCACGTAGCGCAGAAATACTCGCATGGATAATTTCGATAACTGCGAAGCTTGCGATGTTCCTACTACCCCAGAGATCACCAACCACCCTCGAATCGGTAAAAATAAATGGCTAGGAAATGTTCGATATTGATAAATTCGCAATGGAAGAAATCAAATATTAGCAACTATAAAACGACCAACTGTAAACATCGAATTCGCCAGTCGCTGGATATATATCCTCCCTTCGTAAATATTCTACCACCCTAACCCAAAACCATCGCAGCAACGTATACCCGAACCACAGAAACAAAATAAAACTCCAAGCATCAAAAATCAAGAAAATTCGTAATTAAGAAAATCAAGAATCCTGTCGTGATCATCAACGGAGTAAACTTTAATTATCATTAATTCATTCCACTTGTGCGAGCACTCTGCGGCTGCAAAAATCATCCACCAACCCCCTGAGCCAGTAGAAATGAAACAAAATTACGATTATGGAAATCCTGCAAAATTTTGCAAGATTCTGCAAGATTCCGCAAGATTCCTGACAAAAGAGATCAAGTGTTCGGAAATTTTAAACGAACGGGTCCAGTCATCGGACTCAGCCCCACCCCAATCTTTTGCGAGGGTTTCGCAACCCTAAAAGCCGACTGGACCGACCTCTGTGCATTAGCATATTCTCTGGAAACGAGGTTTCCGACGATCTAACCAACGGCCAAATTGTTCCAATTACGGATTACGGTGTCAGGAAGGAACGATTCACGGATACGAAGAACGGGACGAGCGATTATTCATTCGTTTGTGGCCGTGTTGCGACGCCATTGGTGCATATTTCGCACGTGTGACATCATTCGCGTGATGTAATCGCACGTCGAGCAACTCCCACACGATCTCAGGACGTAAAAGCAACGAGTTGTTCACGGAACACGTCTGAAAATAAGCGGTACGTGCACTTGACAATACGCCCGTGAGTTGCTTTCCTTCTATCTCGTCGCGATAAAATGCTGCCTCTCTCTCTGCGATTACCGTCCAATCTCGCTGATGTAACTGCCAAAGATAATTTTTCGGTGTAATAACGTGGCGTATCCGATAAATATCACGTTCCTCCAAGAGTGGGGAGCTTTTCTCGATAAAGGCGTACCTCGCTTTCGCACTTCTCTCGAGTCCTTCTTTTCCTCTCGTAATCGCATTTTTATTCGAAGCTTAAAATTCCATTCGCTATTTCAAACACGTCGTTCTGAATAGCGGAAAATATTCCAGATGAGCGTACATTATTTCTCAAATTCGACGTTGTCCGGTTTGAAAAGACAAGGAATATTAAAATATATTACTGTTATAGTAATAGTGTTGTAGTATAATATTATAATATTATAATATAGACTGTTAATAATATAAATGAACATGGTTTAAAATGATTTTAAAAATATGAATGATATTCCTTTCATTTCGCGGCCAAAGATAGTGATGTTCGACACCCACTTGAACATTTCGAGAATATCGCTTGATAAAGATTATCGTAACGTTAATCACTGATTTGCTGCTTTTTCACTAACAACTACTACATCTAACTTTCCTGAAATTATGGTTTGTACGTACGTCTTTTAGTTTAGCCAGTGACTGATAGAGAAATTAGACAGTCGCTTGAAATAGACTCGTGTTTTTCCACTGTGCAAATGTATAGAAATATCAAAGGAAATACAAGGAAAGGAGGGTAATGTTTTCATCTTAAAAAGAACGAGGCTATTTTCATAGCCTGTAAACATACAATCCGAGTCTAAAAATGGACTGCGATCCGATGACAGGATGAAAATAAAGAACGCCCCTGCGAATCTTGCGAGATATTCCGTTTTAAAGGGATATTAAAGAAATGACTGAGAATAGGGAATAACGAGTTCAATTTTAAGACGAAGGTATTATTCTCGAGGCCTCTAAAAATGCAATTCCAATTCGAAAAGTGGATTATCCAACGATGAGACGTCTCTGTAAATTTTGCAAATTTCTCAGGATATTCTCGAAAGAAAACAAGTCGAAAGAAATCTTAGAAACACAAGCTGTTTTCATTTGCATTTTAAAGACACTGTCATCGTCTCTAAAAAATATAATTCTAATTCCAAAAGTGGACTATCCAACCACAAAACGCCTCTGTAAATTTTGCAAATTTCTCAGGATATTCTCGAAAGAAAGAAAATCAAAAGGAACCTCAGAAACAGGTGTCTTCGTTTACATTTTAAAGATATTGTCACCATTTCCAAAAATATAATTCCAATGTCTGAGAATAGGGAATAACGAGTCCACTTTAAAGACGAAGGTATTATTCTCGAGGCCTCTAAAAATGCAATTCCAATTCGAAAAGTGGACTATCCAACGATGGGACGTCTCTGTAAATTTTGCAAATTTCTCAGGATATTCTCGAAAGAAAGAAAATCAAAAGGAACCTCAGAAACAGGTGCCTTCGTTTACATTTTAAAGACATTGTCACCATTTCCAAAAATATAATTCCAATGTCTGAGAATAGGGAATAACGAGTCCACTTTAAAGACGAAGGTATTATTCTCGAGGCCTCTAAAAATGCAATTCCAATTCGAAAAGTGGACTATCCAACGATGGGACGTTTCTGTAAATTTTGCAAATTTCTCAGGATATTCTCGAAAGAAAGAAAATCAAAAGGAACCTCAGAAACAGGTGCCTTCGTTTACATTTTAAAGACATTGTCACCATTTCCAAAAATATAATTCCAATGTCTGAGAATAGGGAATGACGAGTCCACTTTAAAAACGAAGGTATTATTCTCGAGGCCTCTAAAAATGCAATTCCAATTCCAAAAGCAGACTATCCAACGACAGAACGCCTGTGCGAAATTTTCCAAAATAAAATCAAAGAGAAACTTAGAAATAGTATATACAGTATTTTCATTCGCATCTGGGTAACAACGTCGACTCACTTCCCACAGCCTCAGAAAATCTAATTCCGATTCCAAAAATGGACTACGATCAGCAACAGGAGAAAAATAAAGAACACGAGGAACTCGAGGAAAATTGCATCGCGAATCGCGAGAATTCTTATCATTACACAGCGCTCCAGTCTCGATTATGTAATATCAATCGACTGTGCGCTATAAAAGTATGTTTGCTCGACCGACTGGATGAAATCATTGCGCTATTATGTTTTATTCATTCCCGGATTGTCGTTGCTCTGTAAAAGGCCCCGCGACCTGCCGCGTGTTACTACTTCGATCGGAGTCCGCCATCGTCGAAGATTCGAGCAGCGTACAAGATCTCCTTCGATTCCAGTTTTTTCCACGTTTATCATCGTGAGTAAATTACGCCCGTGTCTGCGACATGTCGCATAAGCGATTTCAGCCTGTTTACCGACTGATGATTCCTTTAGGACGCACGAGGCATACAAAGTACCATTTATAATTATCCGGAAGAGAGAATTTATTATCGACTGGCATTGATACGCATCGTAAATCTTAATTATGCTAAGCGACATCTCCACTGGATATCGAAGGCGTTCGAATAATTTCAAATATAAACATGGAACCAAAATGGCACCTTCTGAACATCCCACGTGTTTCGATCTGCAACATGTATACCATGTTTCAAAAATGGTAATTTTTAAATTAATACGCCATTACATAATCCATTTGTAATTATTCAAACGACGTGGAACAATCAATATTGTTTTCCCGGTACCATTAGTCGCGGCGTGATAAATCCGAATTATCCTAATTGACATCCATTGACTCCTGCAGTCGTTCGCATAATTACAGAAACGTGCACGTCACGTCAGACGCAAATAGTTTAGGATTCACAATGGCACCTTTCAAGATTCCGTTTCAGTCGAATTTCAAACACATTCATCATTTGCATTTATTTCTCAATTGGTAATTCTCGTGAATCGTAAGATGCACGCGTGGTATGTTATGCTTCGCGAATATTTAAACGACATACAACGATTAACTTTATTTCCGTCGCATGCGCGACAATGAAAAGTGACTCGATGAAATTGACAACCTGAAATAGCTCGTGATCTGTTCGTTACGCAACCAAATGTCTCAAACGAAATTTTTATAACCGATTCAATAGACGACGAGTTGCTTTAACTGGCCATCCTCGTCGACTCACCCTGTACGTGTTGTCAAAGGCAAATAAAATTGAAAAATTATTTGAATAAAATTACGGGGCTCCTCCTCCCTGGTAGTTGTCGTTGACGCTGACAGGAAGGAAAGAAAAAACGATGGGATGCGTTTAGTCCTGGGTCTGCTAGTGAATTTATCAGCAAGGGTACCTAGCATGCCCACCCTCAGCGAACATACTATCGGGAAACCTGGAAGTTCTATATACAGAGTGTCCTAGCAACGGTAGTACAACTGGGAAAGGGGCGATTCTACATAGAGAAACGAATAAAAAGTAAAAAAAAAGAAAATTTTTTGATTGGAAGCTTCGTTTTCGAGAGAATCGACTTTGAATATTCACCTAGCGCGCGTGCACTTAGCTATGACTTATACGAATACACCATCGATACACGAGTATCCGTGATACAATCGATGAGGGGGGATTGTACATGAAAAAACAGATCGAAAATAAAGAACCAAATTTTTTCATTCGAAGCTTCGTTGTCGAGAAAATCGACTTTGAATATTCACCTAGCGCGCGTGCACTTAGCTATGACTTATACGAATACACCATCGATACACGAGTATCCGTGATACAATCGATGAGGGGGGATTGTACATGAAAAAACAGATCGAAAATAAAGAACCAAATT